CCCCTCCGAGGCGCAGCGAGGCTCGGCAGCGGCCGGCGTGCCAGGGAGGTGGGCTGTAAGCAGACACAATCTTTTCTCCATTGAGCAGTAAATCTCCGAGGCCTGGAGCATGAGCTGCACAGACAAGGCTGCAGCGTGGCTTCCAGCGCAGCTCTTCTGCCATGCTCTCGGCTCTGAACTCCGACAGGAGCTGGGGATGGGCAGGGACAGTCCCTTCCCTCCCAGTGCGGCAATGCCCTGGCTGTGCTGCTCCTGCAAGAGGGGACACAGTAAGAGCAGGATGCTCAGGGCAAATCCCAGCTTTTTGGGGGGAGCAGCCAAGGGATGCTGGCTTGGTGTGCCCTACCAGCTGCTCCCGCCGCTCGAGGCAGAGGGGAGACCCTCGGGAGGTGGCTGGCAGCCCCCATGTCCCGCCTGGTCACCAGCTAGCAGCCTTGGGGATATCGCTGCCGTCGTAGGTGGGGTCAGGGCACGGCCCCAGACCTGAGGTGTCCGTCTGGGACAGCAAAAGGTGTCAGATGATTTCCAGCATGGTGATGCCCAGCACAAAGGTCCCCTGCTTTGGTGACCTGAAACACCACCGTTGCTGACCCCAGAGGAAGGGGCTGTGCTTCCTCTGCCATTATTTCGGAAGCTTGGGCTGAGATCAGTGAAGTTTGTGGATTGCTGAGCCTTGGTTGCTATAAACACTTCATCACTGTGACAAAAAAAACAAACATCACCCGTTCCTCTGACAGCTGGGTGCGGGTGAGCCCCAACGCCCTGGGGAGGGAAGCAGAAGAGGTTTTGGCAAAGGACAGGAAACAGGATGGGTTCAGAAACCAAACTGCCGCTGTTCCCCACCCCGGCTCTGCGGCTTTCTGTACAGAAATAAAAAGGAGAGGGGACAGAAAGGGGGCTGGGAGGTCCTTTAGCTGATCTATAAGAGATGGGGGTGTTGCTTCAGCCCCCAGTGGAGGCAGAGTGCAGGCAGGAGGGGCCAGTGGAGGTTGCCTGGCCCTGCATCTTCCTCCCAGTGCAGATGGAACAGACCTTAATCCGAAGCAGGGGACAGATGTGTCCCCGAGCCCCCAGCTGGCAAGGGGGATGGCTTAGGCTGGAAGCCTTACGCAGGGTGCTGCCCTCAGCATTGCTCCCTAGAGCTGTCCTTAGCGAAAGCAGCAGCCCGGGGACAGGGCTGTGTCCTGCCAGTGTGGCCGTGGGAGCGGGCTGCAGCTCACGGCTGGGCTGACACGTGCTGGGGAGCCGGGGGGTCTGGTTCAACACTGCCCCGCTGAGACACCAGCGGGGCCACCGAGCCTCCCCTGCCAGCTCTGATGGGGACACTGATGTGACACCTCCGGCACTTCCCTTGCCGTGATTTTTTGTCTTATCCATGCAGGCTCCGGTGCCTCGGGGCCACGGCAGCCCCTGCGGCCCCAGCGGGGCCAGGCACCTGCCGTGGGGCGAGCTGTTTGTTTCCCTGCCAGTGTGTTTCTGCAAATAAAGCTGTGTCCCCTTCAGGGACAGGTAGGGCGCAGGCAGGGCTGGGGCAGTGTGGCACCGGGGCTGCGGTGCAGGGGCTCCTGCTCTTTGCTGCACGGGGCTCATGGGGACGAAGCTGTTCTGTAACTGGTGGTACCCAGCTCATCACCGCTTCGGGTATTTTTAAGGCTGATTTGTGTTAAGTTCAAAAAGCGCTGGTATCTTGTGGGAGAGCAGTCGAGAAAGTGTCTGCCCGTCTCCTA